GTTCTGCAGTATGTCTAATGCCTACGAGACTGATGTAGGATTATCTCAGCCCCATGTCATCTCTGAGATCGAGTACGAAGGATACCATCCTTTGGTCAGCCATAAAATTTTTAACATTTCCAGATTTCTTTCATCTTCTGAGAAGAGGTTTACATGAGGTAAAAGCGATAGTTTACTTTTTACCATCAGTCACTGACTGTCCCCTTTTTTAACAGTAAGTAGAGTTTAGATCACTCCATTTTCATTAAGGGACAAACCACTGAGTGTTTTTTAGAGTAGACGTGTATGAGTGACGGTTACCGTTACCTGTGAGATACCGACCACATGTTAAATTCACATTATAGCTGAGCTTATGAGAACTTGCTCTTACACCATTCCTTCAGTTCCCCTGAACTAGTTAAAACCGCTGTGTTCTATCTGCAGAGCAGGCAAGGGGTGGCCTGGGGACAGCTGAAGTAGCACGTCCCTTTACTGCTCAACTTCTCATGGGTTAGCACTCACTATCACTCTCGGTCCTGGCAAACTGAATCTCTTAAGAAATCTCCTTTAGCTGAATTTTATGTACATGTAACAAAGATATTTGATTCCAAAGCCTCTGTCACAGCTTGTTTCTTACTTTATGAAAAGCCAGAATTTAGTTCCCTCCTTCCTGTTTGTTTTTTTTCCACTAAACACTTCGTTGTTAGCGGAGAGAAAAATAAACAAAGGGAATGCGTTTTCTGATGCCTCTACTCCAAGAGAGGTGGTAAAAGAGCAAGAGGAAAGGTAAGTAATGGCAGCACATAGTAGCCATAATACAAATAAGAAGAAAGGCAAAACAGCGAATTTAACAGAAAAATGATGACATTAGTCAGATAAATGAAAAGCAGGTGCGATGTTGAATCTTGCCCACACTTGCTGTCAGGCCAGTATTAATTTAAGGGTAAAATCCTTGTATTTAGTAGTTTTCATCTCATATGGAGGCTAGAGTGTGAATTTTATCACAATCTCTGATTAAGAGCAGGATTATAGAACTGGTGAGAGATTCCAACAATTACAGCTTAGTCCTTAACTTCTTTGTTTATTCTTTTCTTAATGAAGATTGTAATACTTTCTTAGTTTTGTGTTATGTACTTAGTTTACTTTATTGCAGCACTGTTTCTTGATAAGGCTAAATTATTCATTGCACATACAGCCAATTTTTTAATATTATCATTGACATTAATATGTTATTTTCTTTCATTCCCTAGAACATGATTAAAAATGCTTCTAATTACTTGTTTGAAATGACAAAACATCGATTTTTCTTCAAGTCTGTAAAAATTATAATTCCTAAAACGTGGAAGAAAAACATCAACTATTCAAGATTAAAAACAGAATCATATGATAAGGTATGATTTAGAGAACTCTTTATGATTAGAACAACAAGGAAAAGCTAGACTGATAAGGCTACATTACAAATCACAGCAAAATCTAGGACTAATCCTGGAAGTTCTTACTCAAAAGTGTTGAGAGTGTTTGTAGGATAAAAAAAATCGAAGGACTGAATTTATTCAACAAGAATCACCTAACTCTTCTCTACACCCGTGTTATGTATAACTTTGGTCTTACTTTTTCAGGCAGATGTCATCATAGCAGACCCTTACATAAAACATGGAGACGATCCTTACACCTTGCAGTACGGAGGATGTAAGGAGAAAGGACGGTACATCCATTTCACACCTAACTTCCTGTTAAATGACAAATTGGCCAATATTTATGGAGAAAAAGGTAATACTGCTATTTAATTTAATTGCCTGCTTTATTGTTTGTATGAAATGGCCGAGATTTTTCAAAGCGATTAATGAATTTGGGTACTTTAATTTGCTTGCAAAATGAAAAAAACTTTGAGAGACACGTTCTTCAGAAGTAGTAAATACCTGTGAAATGTCTGAAGTTAAATGTTCAGACACTGGATCCAGAAGTTGTTCATCCCTTCGAAAACCTTAAATGGTTATTCCTCTGCACTTAACTACTGCCATTAGCAGTAGCCTTCCTTTTATGACCACTTAACCAAATAAACTATCCAGTGTTTGTGTATCTGATTTTGTACTACACTGTGTCAAAAACAGTAAGGTTTTCTGCTCTGTGGGACAGAAACCTCACAAAGCCTAAATTTCCTCAGGAGATATTTGCGGACTTGGAAGAAAGCCTCTAGAACAGTTCCTGCATTTCTGAGGAATATATGAATATATGAAATAAATACGAGAGTCAAATATGAATAAAAATTCTAGTCCTGGTTGCTAAACTGATGCCTTCCTAGTGTTACCTCAAAGAAAAATTATTATCCCAGTTGCTTAAATATTTCACAATCTTCCTATATTACCTCAGATAAGAATTAGTTTAAATTGTTAAAATGTCCAAGTAAAACACTGAGTAGCTTTTAAACAGTTGTATTTAGAATGTGCATGTGCTACTGTTTTTCAACAGGTCGAGTTTTTGTCCACGAATGGGCTCACTATCGGTGGGGGGTGTTCGATGAATATAGTAGCGACATGCCTTTTTACGTGTCTAGAAATTCTAAGGCAGCAAGTGTTGAAGCAACAAGGTATTATTTTTTTCATATTTCTGCTTTTACATTACACAGGTTTAAACATTTCAATAATGTTTTCAATATTCTCGTCGTCTGTGCTGAGTTTGTAGGGTGTCCATGACCTGTTCATATGATTAAAAGATGCTTAGTCAGCAACATCTGTTGCCTGCTCTGCAGCCCAGAAAACCACAGCTGCCTTCGGTGCTGTTTTGCAAGAGGTTCAGGAGGTCAGGCTGCATAATCTTTTGCTGTGTGTGCAACTGCAGACTTCAGCCACCATTTGTTTCGTACTTATTTAACATAATTTTATTAAATAGCAGTTATCAACAACACTGAAATTGCCTACTGAAACCACTGTGATTTTAAACAGTTTCTACAAAGAGGGACAATAACTGAATGGATGTAGAGAATTAGTTCAGGCTTGCCTTTTTTCCTAGCTCAGGCATACCAATGCAGTCTTTTGTATCACAACTATTAGCAGGATGTCTTTCCTGCATAGCCTATAATTATCGCAAAGAAGATCACAAAAGACCACAAGTGTTTTATGATTCTAACTATTTCTGGATTAGTTTGAGGACCCTGCCAGGCATAGTGACAGCCTACCTATGTACTTGTGCAGTGTCTAGTACAGTGCTGTGTCAACAGCAATTTGGCTTTGGGCAGCCAAAATTCAAATAAATAACCATAGAATCATAGAATAGAATCATAGAATCATTAAGGTTCGAAAAGACCTCTAAGATCATCGAGTCCAACCGTCAACGATGCCCACTAAGCCATGTCCCTAAGCACCTCATCTACACGTCTTTTAAATACTTCCAGGGATGGTGACTCAACCACTTCCCTGGGCAGCCTCTTCCAATGTTTAACCACTCTTTCAGTAAAGAAATTTTTCCTCACGTCCAATCTAAACCTCCCCTGGCACAACTTGAGGCCATTTCCTCTCGTCCTTTCGCCAGTTACTTGGGAGAAGAGACCGACACCCACCTCGCTACAGCCTCCTTTCAGGTAGTTGTAGAGCGTGATAAGGCCTCCCCTGAGACACAGTTACAGACTGGGCTCTTAACCAGCCCTGCCTGTCTTCTCTTCCCTTAGCTGTCCAGCTGGTGTGGCTGGTATACCTGTTTTCCAAGACTGCAGCGGAGACAAGTGTGAGCCAAGAAGCTGTAGATATGATGGTCAGCTATATGAAAACGGATGTATGTTTATTCCAGATATACGACAAAATATCCCATGTTCTGTTATGTATTTGCAATACATACTGTCCGTAAGTATTAGTAACTATACCTTTCTGGACTGAGAGTTTGGTAACATTTGGGGTCTAGTCAGTTATTTCTGCTGAGGAGAATGGTCAGTCAGGTGTTTCTTTAATTACTTTCTATTTCAAAGAAAATGCATGATGCTATTAGTTCTATTAAAATCTGTTCAAAAGGAGAGACAAAGGAGGTACTGTAAACGATTTGACAGCCGTGTCCTGTCAATAAGGGTGCGATGCACTGCAGTCCCAGCATCCTTCTGGCTCCGTGTTTGGAGAATCAGGTCAACAGGCATAAAAGGGAAGCGTTCTTGCCAAATGCCTTGTCCCTAAGATAACTGCAGTTTTTGATCACTCCTTATGTAAACTGGCACCCGAACTGTGTTACCTGGTTAGCTCTATTACACTCCATTGCAGAGCAACCTGGTCTGTCTGTCTATCCTTAACTCAGATGCAGCAGCCCACCTCTCTTGAAAGCAGCCAGGACAACCAGGCAGGCCTCCTCATGCCAGCTCTGTACTGTTCCAGTGTCTGGGAGAGGGTGCTGGGACAGGGGTTAGCAGGTCGGACAGCCTCCTTGCCGGCTAGATCTCTGTGGTACGGGATCACGATTCCTCCAGCTATTGACCTTATTTCTTTGGGCAAGCTCTTTCCAAGAACTTGATGGGTATACTGGGCCTGGCTAGGGTACAGTTAATTTTCTTCATAGGGGATCATATGGTGCTGTGTTTTAGATTTTTGACCAAAACAGTACCAAGAACACACTAATGTTCTAGCTTTAGCTGAACAACATCAAGGCCTTCTCTGTTTCTCACTCTGCCCCCCCCCCCTTCAATAGTCTGGGGAGTGCGCGGTAGGCTGGAAGGGGACACAACCAGGCAGATGACCCGAACTAACCTAAGAGATATTCTATACCATATGACGTCATGTTCAGCAATAAAAGGGAAAAGAGGGGGGTTTAGGAGAGTTAGCCATCTTAACGCTCGGGACCTGGCCGGGCATTGGTCTACCCACGGGAGGTGGTGAGTGGTTGCCTTTGCATAACTCGTTTTGTTTCTTCTCTCTTCTTTCACTTATCCTTCACTTATTAAACACATTTTTTTCGCTTTGTTTTATCTTGACCCTAAAGTTGTTTTTCTTTTATTCCTCCTTTCTTCTTCCCCTGTCCTACTGGGGAGGGGGAGGAAGTGTGGTGCTTATCTGCCCACTGGGGTTAATCCACAACAATGGGTCATGGTCTTCCCTCAGCAGTATGCCGTGGACATCCTGAGACATCTAAAAGATTATTTCCTGCTTCTCTCAAAATCTTGACTTTGTATCTTTTGCATGTTTCCTTATTCCACTCAAGAAAACTTACAGGAACTGGTGCAAGACCATCAGCTTAACCCAAGAAGTTGGTTAAATATTCAGGCTGCTAACTCGTGCTGACCTCCATGCTGTTCAGGTCCAGTATCTATGTTAGCAGGCTTAAATCTAGTAGGACCTCCATGAATCAGTCATTCCGAGGATCTCAGTACTCATAGACTGAAAGCTTTGTTTCTGCATGTCACAACATGCTTGTGCTTATGTAAAATCTGAGATAACTTCTTTGGGAGCACTTTCTTTGCCTGCCTCTTCTAAGATCCTGGTGGCCAGGCACCATGACACAGAGGACATTTGCTGGAGAACACCACTTCCATTTGTCCTGTCCCCTACCACAAACTTCTTATTTTCTGAGATATTTTCTTATGCTCATACTGTTGGGTTCAGAATTATTATCAGCTTCAATCTGACTTTTTAGGTGGTTGAATTTTGTGATAAAAACACTCACAATAGTGAGGCTCCAAATATGCAGAATAAGATGTGCAACCACAAAAGCACGTGGGAAGTAATTATGGAATCTGATGACTTTCGCAACTCAGCTGTTGTAAATGCTTCTGCACCGCCCTCTGAGACTACCTTCAGGCTACTGCAGACCCAAGACAGAGCAGTCGCTTTAGTACTGGATGTTTCTGGGAGCATGTCAATGGTAAGAATACGCATTTTATAAGCAGTTTTTAGCAAAAACTGTAAGAAACAGAAAAAGTTACAAAATAAAAAAAAAAATCAGTCAATTCTGTAATTAAATTGATTATTTTAGAAAAAAAAAAGGACCACTCATATTCTCCTTGGTAATTTTATTTAGGCATTCCTACAAGATATCACTTCAAAATACTGAGTTTTAGGCCAGACTTGGTCTTTCTTTTCATGTAAAATCTCAGTTTTATATACCTTCTTTCCCTTGTTCCAGAGCTAGAGTGACGTCGTATTTCTTCCAAGCAGAAAATGTATCATAGATGGAGTTTCACATTCTATCTTTGTTATGAATGAATCTAAAATTTAAAGTAAATATGTAGGTCACAATATGTCAATAAATTAGATGTTCTTTCCTCATTACAATATTGCTCTTTGGAATCAAGAATGTGAGCTGGCATAATGTTATGCCATTTTAACAAGGCTGAAGTTATTCTTCCTTTTTTCTTTTCCCCATAAAACTTTGCATAGGTTTATTCTTTCACAACTTCTTGTGGCATGAGATACTAAGCTTGTTTATGGATGCAAGGTTTAGTAAATGTCCCTGAATATGTGCTTATTTGCATAAATATCCTAATACTTTTATAAAGCTGTAAGCAATGCAATCATCTGTAGAAAGATAACGAAATTATCTGGGTAGATAAGGCAGCTATCTCATGATTTATTAATAGACTTCAAACCTCTATGCATACTCTAACAGCTTTTAAAAATCAGCCTATATATTCTTTTGATGACTTAACTGCATTTTCTTATCCATGACTTACCTCTTCCACAGTTCAGTAGTGAGCCAATGACCATTAGTCTCTTATTGAAAATACTGCAAGTTCAGTGTTTCATTTCTCACAGGAATTCAAGCCTAAAAATAAGACTATTCATCTAAAGAAGGTAATTAAAAAAGCTGTTGAGAAATATTCTTAAATATTTGACAGTCATACCTTAAACCAAAATATACATGGAGAAGCATAAAGCAGTATATACTCCAATTCTTTAGTTATGGCATACATAGAATAATAATTGTGGGATTCTCCCATAGTGCTCCATCAACGGATCTATTTCCAGACATGCCATTCTAGTCCAGAGCTGTTCTTGAGACTGATCTTCAGCAAAGATCTGCAATTGTAATAAATTATATTATTTTTATAATACAGATGTCTATCAATCATAGTGCATTTTATTAAATCAGTTAGTAAATAGTGATGTAATGCTAAAAACCAAAACGAAGATAATTATGAACTAACTACTGCAAGAATAGCTAGCTCCAGAGATAAATGTTTTCAAATATAACTTTTTTTTTTGCAGTAATCCCTTTGAATATTTGCATTTAAAATAGCCATACTTTAATATTATGTATATTTTCAAAATACTTAGTCTCTAGACTAACCTACTCCTCAGGCATCGTAAATGTTGTCCTTTTGCATTGACAATCACGCTATCAAAAAAAAAGTGAAAAAAATCTTGATTAGGAATAAAGTCATAACATCAGAAGATAGACTTTTCCTGGTGACATCTTTCCTGGAAGCTTCAGTTTGCTGTGCTTTCACAATACCAGAACATGGTTTACATCTCCTCTCTTCTAGAACTGAGCATACATACGAGTTACCTTATGGCAGATAGTTTTTAATTTTTACTTACAACCTGATCAACATCAAAAATTCCCATATTTTGTTCACAGTCAAAGCTTTTCAGAAGAGATTGCATTCTAAGGATGTTGTTTTTCTTCACATACAGCACGACCGCATCAGACATCTCCGTAGCGCTGCAGAGGCATTTCTGCTCCATATTATTGAAATTGGTTCCTGGGTTGCAATTGTCACATTTGACTCTGACGCATCTGAAAAAGCTCCTTTGCAACAAATAACCGATGGTGCAGCACGCCAAAAACTTGTTCAATGTTTGCCTATAATTGCTAGTGGAAAAACCAATATCTGTGCAGGCGTACGTAAAGGGCTTCAGGTAAAGTACAATGTGGAAATACCTCCTGGAATGTATGGAAAATGAGGAAGAAGCGCAAAACATACTTGATAGCCTACTGAACATGGACCTCCTATGCAATGGTAGAGTTAAGAAAGATAATGTGATTCTTGAATCTATCAGGAGACAATTTGGTGTAGAAAGTATTTGGCATTACCATTATATGGCATTAGAAAGACTATTACCAGAAAACAGGCCAGATGTGATGCCCATGCTTCAAAAAGGATATTGAAACATAAGATCAAATTCCAAAATTAACTACAAGAATGATCTAAACTTTGGAAAATCAGATTTCTAGGTGGAAACCTATGAAGCTTATTCTATTTAAGTTTGTTTAGGAGATAGTTAAGGGGTTACTTTAATACAGTTCTTTAATAACTTCTAGTGGAAAGAAATATGCAGTACTGCAGTCAAACTTTCACATGACTGGATAAACTCACAGCCCGATCCCATTGCTGGGTGTATGTAGAGAGAAGAGGCTGCAGACCAACACAACAATGAACATCATATTGTATTCCTGCGATTTCTAAGATTTTTTTCTAGCAAAATGTGGACTGAGGAAGCACCAGAGATCTGACTCATGAATCACAATGAACATATAGAATAAGTAAGTGTGAAAATGGGAAGCTGTACAATGGTAGTATTGTTAATTCCCACAGCTCACTAGTCATGAATCAAGCCCCTAAAATTGTAAAACCACAGACAAATCATGAGATTGGGAAACAGTGATGGATAGATATTATTATTTGTCTGTTTTACTTCCTTGGGCTGGCAGTCTGCAGTCCCAGAAGATGTCACCTAATTCAGATGCAAAACTGAAAATCACGAGCAACGTGTAGGAAAAGGGAGGAAAGAGAAAGAGAGAAATTGTACAGAGAAGGATGAGACTGCTGAGGTAGCCGAGAGGAGGCTCAGGACAGGGGGACGTCAGGAGGAAGACTGGCAACCAGACAGGGATGGAAGAGCCAGGACAGAGGCCTCCCCCATGGGTGCTCCCTACCCCTTTCTGTCCCACCTTCAGTTACCTCAGAGTCCACCCTTAGACAGAAGTCTGTCTTCCTCTACTCCTGAAATTTCGATTGGAGAATGAAGAGTTGTTCCAGACAGCGGACATATGATGCCTTTAAACATCCAGTCCCTGAACCAGCAAAGCACATACAGGCAGAATGCCTCTGACATCTTCAATTTGGGACAGGTTCCTTCCCTAGGAAAACATATAACAAATAGTCATTATTTATAATTGAACACTTAATAAATCTAAGCAATTAGATGTTGCAATATCAATTGCAATAATTAATATTGTAATAGTTTTAGTGTTAAATAAAAATTCAAACACTTATTAAAGAATAAATTTGTCCTATATTTGAAGTTAACAGTTTTAAATGCATACATTGGCTGTGCTCTGGGATAAACTAGTATTTAAAAATTATTCTGCTGCTTATATCATGAATTCTTTTCTTGATGCAGTTAATTGCAGATAAAATGAACACTACATACGGTTCAGAAATTGTGTTACTGACAGATGGAGAGGACTCAGGTATAGCAGCTTGCCTTGATTTGGTGAAACAAAGTGGGGCAAAAATTCACACCATCGCACTGGGGCCATTGGCAGCCAAAGAATTAGAAGAATTTTCAACACTAACGGGTAAATATTCTAAATGCACTCTTCCTCTGGCATGCATATTCAAGTATGAAAATGTAAAAGCATGGCAATTCATCAGTCTGGAAAAAAGAAATTTAAGAAATTTAAAACAAATTTAATTTTAAAGAAATTCGGGTTTCATGACTGGCATTTTTAATATGAACTGTTTAGATCCATAGACGTGCTTTAAGAGCTATCTTGATTTTAAAAATGCAATAACATGACAATACCCTATTACTAAGGAGATTTAATTATGATATTGTTATATAACATAAAAAGCAATGTCTAGAATTTTATTTCTGGCATTACATGCAATGACTAGAACTTTCTATGTGCTTTAACTTATAAGCATTTTTTATTACATAAAGAATAATTTCTCCAACTGTTGTGGCTGAAGTGCACTGGCTAGGAAATTGTAAACACAGTGACTACCTTGTCATTAGGAAGCATAGCTGTCAGCTGAGCTGGAGCTACATCATTAGTTTGAAAACAACCATTTAAAAACCATCCATAGGTGTGTTGCTTCATGCTACAGCACCTGCAAATGCCATGGAAGAATGAGAGCTCCTTGCACAGATCTAGAAAGCAAGCCGACTCCAAACAAATACGGTGAATAAATATTCGTATTTGAGAGGTGCACATGCTGTGCATTTTCAGACTACAATCCACTTGTTTTAGCAATTTATTTAAATAACCTGGAACGCCCTTATGCACTCTTCAACATCATTAGATGAACATGACTATGGGAGAGTCTAGAGTCCAATCCTGTTCTGGCCTGTATTTTAAGACAGAATTTGTTGTTTAAGCTCCACTTGTGGAGTATTTATTACGAATGATTTGTGAGCCAGAAAGAACCCAGATGGTCCTTCAGCATGTAGTCTTCAACCAGCAGGCCTTCCTGCTTAGAAACAAAAATCAATTTTCCAAAAACACTGACTAGATCTCTGAGCTAACACCTCCTCCAGCTCATGCGACTCCGTGTGTTCTCTCATGAGGCAGAACCATACACCTGATGTAACCTGCACACCTTATGTCAGTCTATGCATGAGGGACGGGGGTGAGAGGCATTAGGTGGTAGGGAGGGGCTGTGGGCAGCCTCTGCACGCCCCAAGTAGGCGCCCCAGGCCTCAGTGCTGCACAGCAGCCTCTCCCCCACTCTGGGATTCCAGTGACCTGTGCATTAGGAGCACAGTGATGGCTCAGTTTGTGTCTGGCATATATGATCTTAGTTTGAGAGAGAATTGCAACAAATGCACGAAGTGCAGGTGCTTCAGTAGAGCAGTGTGAAGCCATATCCACAATGAATTCATCAACAGACTTGCACTGAGTATGAGAACCTCCAATGGACTTGAGCTGCTTGAACTCAGCATGCATGAAAAGAGATCTGAACTTCACATTTGGAAATAAAGGTGATCTGGATTTTAAGAGTCAAAAACCATGGAATGCCACCGTGTCTTTTCTACAGAGGTATTTTCAGAACAGAATTTCACTGAAGTGATAATATGTGACTCCAAAAGTACTAGGAAAAGTCTAAACATGCTGTACTTGATGATATGCTGCAGGGAGTGATTTTTTTACAAACTTTGCCAATGAGAGATAAAATGAGTTGATCACACAAGCCAGAATTTACTGACACATGCATTAACATATTAATAAAAAGATACATTTCTTTTTTGATTTTGTAACAAATTGGCTGCCTCAGTAGACCATTCAGTACCAGAAGTCACATAAAATTTAGCAATTTTAAAGTAAAAAATAGTATTTCTAATTCTTTTGCTCTTGTCTTTCAGGAGGTTTAAAGCTCTATGCTGTAGATGGAGCCGTCCACAATAAATTAACTATGACATTCAGTGCAATTACATCAGGAAGCGGAGATATTTCTGAGCAATCTATTCAGGTCTGAATTTCAACACTTCCTTTTCCTCCCATGTGTTGATCCATAATTGAATGAATTTAGACATTAATGATCATAATTGTCAGTGGCTCAATTTGGAAATAGGAGCAAGTACATTTTTTAGTGATCTCCTACTTTTCACTGCAATGAAATAAATAGATAATTTACATAACTTATATAATTCTTGATTTCACAAAATGAAGAAAATTACTTCTCATAATTGTCAAAGTCCAAGAGACTTTGAGAGAAAAAAGCAAGCAGAAATCCCCCAGAATGTTTAGTTCACTCTTACATGAAACATCTTTTAGAGCATTTTAACAGTCTAACTTAAGTAACAAAGATGATACAATTAAAATACAGCTTTTCTCCTAAGCCATATGTATCATTTGAATGTATAAACTTTTAGACTTTTCATCTAGGCCAATTGTTAATTAGAATTTAGCAACTCATTCCTCACTTTGTTAATATTTTAACACAGATCCAGTCCTATGTTTTATCCAAAATACACCATTCGCAAAGATAGCTACATTATAAGCAGCAGTCAATATATGTTTGAAAATGTCTGGGATTTTTAAAGGTGTTATATCGCCTTTAATTGACTCTCTGTCCCACCTATACAGGGAAAAAAAATTAAGTTTATGACAGGGTATTTTCTAATTGCAGACTGTGTTGTTCATAAAATAGGAGTGAGGAAATTACACAAAATTATTTTAATTTTAATAAAGGAAATATTGTTTACTTCTTTCTTCTATATATTCTCCTCTGTTCTGTTGTTATTTCTGTCTCTCTCATTACCTATAAGCCTTATAGTCATATGTGGAGACATTTTCTTTCTCTCTCTCCCAGGATTTTGAGACAGACAAACTGCAGTGGAAATACAGCTTACTGCCACAATGCTTTAGATAGCTAGATAAATGGTTTAGAGACAGAAATGAAGGACTTTTACTTACACTTACTGTAACTTATTCTGTTTACCATAATTTTACACTTAAAATCAATGTTACTATGCAAGTAGCCATTTCATAAAGTGAATCTGGGATTTTGTTAGTTTTCTTCATTCAATAGTTGTACCAAATGGCTCTTAATTTTCCTGTAGGTAGAGACAGCAGAACTAGAAAGCCTACCATCTTCTCTATATAACTCTGAGTTACAAATAAGTAAGCAGAGACCTTTTTTCATGCTAGTTTTCAAAAGACATAAATGCTTTTCAATTCTCTCCTCCAAGACTAATCCATTTTAAGTCAGCAATGAACGGATACAGTATTGTGCAATGGATGAGGAATCACTGAAAATACGCTAAATGCTTCTTTACTAATAGCAATAAGACAAATTTTGTTTCTCTAACAACAGCTTGAAAGCAAAGAGCTACTTGTTCAGCATTCTGGATGGATGAATACTACTGTGCCTGTTGACAAAACTGTGGGAAATGACACTTTCTTCAGCATTGCATGGAGTCTATCTCAGCCTTTTTTTTTCCTGAGGGACCCCAAAGGAAAAGAACATGGAAGCTCAGACTTTACGATCGATAATTCAAACCCAAACACAGCTAGACTCAGTATAAGTGGCACTGCAGAGGTAAAGACTGAACATTTTCTTTTATTTTCTGAATTAACATGTCTTATAGACTAGCATACAGCTTTTCTTTAATTAATTTTTTACTATATAAGGGAAACAATGGTCCTGTTAGCATATGAAGCTTTTTCACTAGTTTTTTATATTTTTTGTATTTTATTTGCAGGTTGGTGATTGGCAGTTTTGTATTAAAAATCTTCATACAGCAACTCAAGCTATATCAGTAACTGCTACCTCTCGACCAGCATATTCTGATGTTCCTCCTGTGAGCATTGCAGCTCACATGAACAGGGCAAATAGAGCATTTAATCCAGTTGTTGTTTATGCAGAGGTTAGCCAAGGGTTTTTGCCTGTTCTTGGTGCAACTGTGATAGCCACCATAGAGAAGGATGGTGCTGCAGCAGTAACCCTTGAACTTCTTGATAATGGCGCAGGTAAGGTTCCATATACATAGTAAAAACCTTTGCATTTATGCATTTTGGAATCCAAGTCTGCATGTTCCCTTCAGCTTTGTCACTGAGTCATATTCACGACTGAGTCGTGGCTATGCCCTAAATCAAGAAAAAAAAATTAAAAGGGAGACAGAGAACCCTACTGCTTTACGATGGAAGTAAGCTACAAAGTTTTTTCTTGGTGAGGAAAACAAAGACATGGGCCTTTACGTGAAAAATTGTTCCACTTTCTTTCCTGTGCTGTTATTGAGGGTGAAAGCAGAAGAACTGTGCATGGTAGAGGGTACATTGCTCAGGACTACTTTCTGAAAGTGTACTTCATGTAATCATCTGCCCTCAAGAGGCAAGGTAAAAAGAAAACAAGCTGTTTTGTTAGTCCATCTCATATTCTATGAAGCTGGACTACAGTCTTAACATTAGCTCACCAAACGTTAGCTTTATCTCCTTTGTATGTTAAATAAGTGCATTCTTCTTCTTTTCAAGAATACTCTTTCTTAGAGCAATAGCAAGAAATTCCTGGCATTTGGCATCCCTCGATTTCTTTTCATCTCTCCCTTTCCTTTTCTCTCACCACTGCTGTAGACCTGTAGCTTTATGAGTTCAGTAGTAGCCAGCAGTGCCTCCTGATACTGTCCCTGCTTTCACATTGCTGTACTTAAAAATATAGTAAGATTTCAATGTGTTAACCTGTGTTTCTTAAACATCTTCTATTTTTTGAACCCGTGAAGTTGTTTTCACATTGCTGCCAGGCTTTAAAATAGTTAGCTTGGATGCCACCAGCAGATAGTCTACTGCAGCCAGACAGGTACAACTGCACAAGTTCACTTAAAGAGAAGGAATTCTGTCTTGATGAATTCCTGGCCAAAGGTTAAATTATGACATTTTTCTAATTTAAAGGTGCTTTATGTAGTAGATGGCCAGTAAGTATTAAGTTGGTGGTTCCATATAGTAACAAGAGATTTACCTAGTTAAAGGTGTTAATGCAAAATGGTTCTTTTTAACAAAATACATATGAAATGCAGGTTGTCATAGTGGGACTACTCCTGTTTTTAAAGATGTCCACATTACAAAAACACTGCCAGGCTTTCTGCATAGTAATGTTCAGGTTTTATGTTTACGTATGAATAGCAAAAATAACCTTGTTTACCAGCAGGTCTCTTGTTTGAGATATTAATTCTCAGTAATTCTATACCAAGGTGCTGACACGATGAAGAATGATGGAATCTACTCAAGGTACTTTACTTCTTTACCAGGCACTGGAAGATACAGTCTAAAAGTGAATGCCCATGGGAGAAATACAACCACCAGACTTAGCCTCCAGCAAAATAGAGCCTTGTATATACCAGGCTACAGAGAAAATGGTAAAGGGCGTTTATGAACAGACAATTCTTTGCATGATTTGTATGGAGGGGGGTGTAAAGGTTTAGCAAAGGGGATCATTTAGATTCACAAAAACTGCATTTGATCTTAAAAGATGTTCCATATATCATTTTCATTACAACAAAGCCCAAACAAAACAAATCCACTCCAACTACTGTTTCCTATGTATGGGGGTAGCATAAAATGTTGTCTTTAATCTAAAAATTATTTTCTCTTACAGCCATGAGAAGGATAAATATTGCTTACAATCTGTATTTCAGCATCTCACAACAGGAATTTCAAATCTATAATTCTTCTTGAGACCTTAAAATGGGGATTTGGGGTAAATAAATTCAGCATGCAACATTAGTGTACAAACTAATGCTGCTAGAAAACTTTGCTTTTGAGATTTCTTGATTTTTTAGTACTTTTTCATCTTAATGCTGAAAAAATATTAGTTGTTGCAATTTAATATTCTTACACTTATACATTGTGAAATTTAGAAAAATCAGCATAAAAATTGTCTAAAAAACTCATAAAGTATGGCCTATATAACTGAAACTCTCTTAAGGCCTGCAATATGGGTGAAGAGATAGATAGAACTACCTTATTGCAGCCATGGCTCACCAACATCTGCAACCTGCTTTACTGGTTGCATTATTTCCAATTTTTTACACATTTCAGACTTTGTCTGCTTTTTGGGTTTCCTAAATTTTATGCTGAGAATCCTGAGATCACCTTATTTTCTGTCTTTATGTCACTAACTTTCCACTAAATTTGAATAAGCTGAAGAAAACTTACAGGATGAGAAGAGATAATAAGAGATAATAAAAATTAAAAGAAAATGCAATTCAGAGTTCTGTCATAATGAAAGTTGAAAAATGTTTTAAACAGGTAAAATTTATATGAATGCACCAAGACCTAAATTTGCAGATAAGGAAATCAAAGTGAAGCTGGGAAGTTTCAGCAGAATTTCAACAAGTTCTCTTGTAGTGAACACAGGAGGAGATTCTGCTCCTGTTTATCCACCCTGTAAAGTTACAGACCTTCACGCTCGTATAGAAAACAAAACAATAGTCTTGTCTTGGACAGCTCCAGGAGGTGACTTGGACAATGGAAAAGGTGAGTCAGACACTACACTTTTGTGATATGAGGTTGACATTTTTATTTGAAAGGACATACCTTGAGGACCACCACTCAGGGATGAGGGTTACATCTTTCCCACCTGAAAATGTAACCAAACAGAAAGTTATCCTGTTGCATGATACCTGTTCTAGTTCTCCTTAATTTTTCATGTTAAAAAAACCCAAACCAAGTAAACCAAGGAATATTATAAACCGATCAAATAAATAAAATTATAATACAACCACCAGAGACTTTAGCAACAAGTCTTAGTTCATGTCTGTGCATAATTAAAAAAAAAATTAACAAAAAAATCAGCCAACATGGACAATACAAAGCTTTAGTCTATTTACAAAGATGTAAATGGATTACAGAGATGCAGTAACGTTCTATCCGAAATACTCATTCTAAGGTTGTTGTACAGGAAAAATGAAACCTAATTCCAGATGAAATGTACAAGCATTTCCTTGCATAAACCAGAGATTGTATGTTAAAATATACAATCTACAGTTATGCAGATTACAGTTTCAGATTAAAATCTTACATTTATCTAAAATTTTTAATAACCAGCCACACAAGGACAACAAACTCAAATAAAAAAAAAAAATCTCAACTTCTTTTATTGCTATTTAGCAACTACATGTCTAAAAACTTTTTTAGCTAAAGTGGTCAGTTATTGCATTATAGTTTAAGATAGCAGGTCCTGCACTGGTTTGGAGCTGGGCATATCATGCACAATTCTCTGCTATCTAAAGAGGAAAAGATATACATAAAAGGAAGAGAGGGGGAAAAGGGGAAAGTCTTGAAAAGCTCCAGACTTGAAATAAAAACAGCAGAACCCCCCAAAATTAATCAAACACATTTATAGCAATGTAACTACCAGTTCTTTGATTACAAACGGGAGAATCATTTTGCGCCTTTCAGTTTTTACTATGAAAACCTCATGCTGAGAGAAAGAATACAGATCAGATGCAAGGCCCGCCCCTGCTATCGACACATATATTTTAATCGCCATTTCACCTTATGTTTGTATTTGGACAGCACAGTTTCTCATTCAGCTATGTTTTGCACAGATCTGCACAAAGATAAGAGTGTCGGTGAAACAATATTTTTAAGGCCAGTGAAAAGGAGGAGTTCCCAGACTCAGCAACAACAGACCTTTGACACTGTGAAGTAAGGTTTAAAAGCAAACTTGCCCACCCTCCATGCTGGGCAACAGTCAGTAGTAAAACAGGAATCATCAGCACATTTTTTTACAAAATGGCTCTAGAAGTCCTATACTGTCACCACAAGCAGGGATATTAAAACATCTATATTAATTTGTTGTTAACATGCATTCTTTTTTCCCTAGCTGATCACTACATAATAAAAAGCAGTGAAAATCTTCTGGACCTAAGAAATCACTTTGACCATGCTACTTCTGTGAATTCCTCTAATCTCATACCTAAGGAGGCTGGTAGAGAAGAATCATTTAAAATTAAACTAGCAAATTTCATAATCAAAAATGACACCATAATCTACTTTGCAGTACGTGCTGTTGATGATACCAACTTGATTTCAGAGGTGTCTAATATAGCACAAACCACATGGTTCGTTCCTCCAAAAGCATCTGTGCCTTTAGAGTATGACGGCAACAATGATGGTGCTGACAGTACAGTAATAGTGGCAATAGTAGCTGTGTGTGTAATAGTTGTCTGTGCTATTGTAAGTTCAACTCTGTGTGTTTTACAAAGACGAAAGGGAAGAGTGGATTTTGAAACAATGCAGAAGCATATGTAAAATAAAAAAAAAATAGTTTCAAAGGAGGGAAAGAAGTATTCGTACATTCAAAAAGTAAGTGCACTGATTTTAAACAGATGTATTTGTCTTTTTTGATAGGCTTATAGATGTAGATTTTCAAAAGTGTGTCTTATATTCAAGTATTTGTACACTGATTAAACGTTAAACATAAAAGCACGTACTCAGAAATATAGTAAAGTATGATATGTGTACCATCATTTGTTTCTATGTGATAAAAATACTTAACTCTTCTGTTGCAAGGTTATTCCAATGTAGTGTCATTTTTTTTTCTTAAATAAAGAAGACAAAGGAATACGATACTTTCCTTGTTTTTATTCTCCATGTAACAATCAAGTAAGGCAAGGCGGGAGAGATGATAGGTGATTTCCTATGCATCTTTCACATGTTGTCAGTTAGGCTTAGGGAGCTGAGAACAAAAATATGTACCTGCAGGCTGTTTATTTATTAAAAAATATTTAAAAATATGTACCTCCAGGCTGATTATTTTTAAAAAAATATTTAAGTATGGGTATCTACAGGTGTGTAGAAGAGTTGAGTATATAAATACTTCCAGAATGAGAGTTGCAGAGTATATGCAAATGAGCACATGGAAAATGTTCCTAGGTGGAGACTAAACAAAGCTATAAATTTGGAGCTAGAACAAACCTTTATATAACAAGAGGTAATTTAAAAGCTGCTAATGGAGAAGGAGTGTGAGAGATACAGGGAGAAGGGTGATCAGTATGACTCTTAGGTTGCTGACTAGCAAATTAACAACTGACTCAAACCAGAATTCTTCAAACTTCTTACATGGCCAAGTTCATTTTACCTCTGCCTTCCAAAAACTGGGAAAAATGTACAATAATAATGAAACAATGTTAAATTCAACAGTCAAATTATCATTCACAGTCTAGTAAATATACCATGTCTAGCAAACATGATTACTTTCATTTACAAGCTTGATACTATTAATGCAATTTCTGATAGTGGGAATTACACTTCAGAACCAATATACAATTTTTATAATTAATGTAATATAATACGCACCCTCACCAAGTTTGCTGATGACACTAAACTGGGTGGTGAGGTGGGTATGTCAGAAGGGAGAGCCATCTCACAGAGAGATCTGGACAGGCTGGAAGAGTGGGCTTAGCAAGAACAGTATGAAGTTTAACAAAGAGAAGTGCAAAGTCCTGCACCTGGGAAAACATAACCAAAGAGCCCAGTACAGGCTGGGCTCTGTGGCTGGGGAGCTGCCTCGCTGAAAGGGACCTGGAGGTCCTGGTGGACAACAAGCTGAACATGAGTCAGCAGCACACCGCTGCAGCAACAAAGGCAAATCAGCTCCTGGGCTGCATCTGCAGGGGCATTACTAGCAGAGGTAAGAGAAGTGATCATCCCGCTCTACTCAGCGTGTGTCATGCCGCACCTAGAGTACTGTGTCCAGTTCTGGTCCTCACAATTCAAAAAAGATGCGGACAGACTGGAGAGGGTCCAAAAGGAGGGTCACAAAGATGATCAAAGGGCTGGAGAACCTGCCCTATAAGGAAAGACTGAAGGAGTTAGGTCTCTTCTCCCTGGAGAAGAGAAGGCTCAGGGGGGACCTCATCACAGTATTCCAATGCTTAAAGGGCAGCTACAAAGAGGACGAAGGCTCTCTCTTCACAAGAAGCCACATGGAGAAGGCAAAGGGCAACGGGTACAAGTTGCACTAGGAGAGGTTTCATCTTGATACAAGAAAGAAATTTTTTACAGTGAGAACAATCAATCACTCAAACAACCTCCCCCGGGACATGGTAGGTCCCCATCACTGGAGGGTTTAAAGATGGAACTGGACAGGGTGCTAGGTAATCTCATCTAGGCTCCCTTTTCCACAAAAGGTTGGACCAGATGATCTTTTGAGGTCCCTTCCAGCTTGGACTATTCTATGGTTTTCCTGCACACACCAACAAATCTATGCAAATGTTGACTAATCATCTGAAGTTTTCTTCTCTGTCTTTATATCTGCAACATCAAATTTTTCCCTTTGTTCTACCTTACCTTTTACATTTTAACAACACAACTTTTTAATATTTTAATGGAATTTCTCTACCTTGCTTTTCCTATTTCTATACTTTCCACAAGTTCTGCTTTTTCTTTATCTAGGTTTCCCATTTTTTATGGGTTTCTGTACCTCTACATAATGCCATCTCTTAATGGATATGTTTTCAGATCTAAAATTCCATTTCCCCACGCAATAATAAATGTTGTAATTTCAGTTCATATCAAGGCCAGAATAGCTGTCACATTTTGAAGGAAAGAGACTCCTTTGGAGAAGAGAGTCAGAGATCAAAGCATTATTTGCTGATATCAGGTCCCTCTAATAGTTTTTAGGTCACTGAATGTCCATTTATTCAGAAATATTTCCTTTTGTTTGCTTCTGAAGTGTCTTCTTATTCCCTAAAATATTTCTGCTGCATACAAATTGTTTGGTAGGAACTACATCATACACTCAGAATAAGTGGGTTGCAGCACTGTTCCTGGAACTATGTCCTAAAGTTATGTAAAAATATGACAGACCTTACATAGCCAATCTCCATGATCCAAGACAACTCATGCATTGCTCTGAAGACACCCAACCCTACCTGCCCAGCCAGCAGAGCTGCAGTAGTCTATTGTGTGGCGACACTGACATCTAGTGGGCTCCAGCAACACTTCCAGTTTTCCCAAATGTTCCAAAAATCGGTTTAGATCAAAGCAGCTCTCTCTGGGATACTCTGTCCTTAATAGAAATGCATATTTAAAAGCACAATCAAATATGAATAGTCGAATGTTGAATTTAGTACTTAAGGCTGGCTCTATAGTAAGAATGAAGGAGCATGAAGAAGATTTATTTGAGTTAGGAGCTTCAGTTTACTGAGCTCTATCTATAGTAAAAGCTCTGAAGAAGTCAGTTCAAGTAACGCAGGATTCAGCACTCCCCCAAACACCTCTGCAAAAGACAGACAAAATTTGATCTTTCATGCTTCCTGACAAGCAAAATGACGGGGTAGGACTATTTGATTGATTTCAATGATTATGTTTACACTAACAGTATGTATGCTCAAAAGCTATGTAGGCTGGGGTCCCAGTCGCTGACACAACTGCCACGTGCCAGTTCAGACTAGCTAGAAAAGATGCGATCGTTAAAGTCAAAAGCATATAAGCTTTGGTCCTCAATATGGTCTTCCCAATGCTCTTAAAATAATTTCAGCTTCCAGCTTCCTACACAGACCTCACGGTGTTCCACGGAGAGTATAAGTTTAATTATTCCTATGCCACATGTGGAGAAACTGTAGTACTAGCGCCATAAAGTGACTTTCTCACAGTCATCAGCAGGGAAGTGGAAGAGCTGCAAATACACCTTCAGTCATTAAACTATCATTGCACAGTAAAAGGAAGAAATCCCAAAACTTAAGGTTTTATTTCCATAGGGGCCAGTTATGGCCTATAGAATTTTCCATACAATCTTCCTCCAAGTGTAAGATAGACAGCTTCTTCTAAGATAGACAGCTGGGGTGTGGGACCAAATTATTATCCTGTCTGGGTATCAAACTAACCCACTATGGCTCCAGGAAATATGATACTGAAAGGACAAATCACAAAAACAAGACATGATTTACCTAGTCCAGTTCCCTGAAATTTCAGGACTTCTGCCTACTGAATGTTTTGCCGATTGCTGCATGCAGTCCTAGTACAACTCCAGTTTAAGCATTTAGGGGAAGCACAGCAACAGCTGCAGCAATGATCCGAGAAAGGACACACTCAGTTCACTTTTTATTAATTCTCACTCAGATAGCTGTAGTTTCTGAGCGGAAACGTGCTGTTGAGAACAGCTGCTTTCTAGTTCTGTCAAATCCAGTCCCCAGATTTTTCATGAAAGCCTGATTGTACCCAGGCCAGGCAGCTGGCACTACTGATTTTATAATCTTTGCCTGGTTATTATCAAGCTAAGCTCACAGTTGTTAATGTTGGCACAGAAGCTATAGACTCACACACAAACAAATGCCCTTACCTATTTCAGTAAAACAAGCTTTGACTATTAAATAGAGGTAAAATTTAATAACATTTATTTAAAATGACACATTCCGCTCATTTTATTTTTAGATGCCTTTTCACTATATTAATAAACGTTAAATCAAATTTACCTTCAGGTTTTCAGGCACATCTATTTTGAAAATCTGGTTCCAGGATTGCTGCTATTCTTCAAAGTATTAGCTGGAGTTCTGCAGAGTTGTAACTGGTAATACACTGCCAGAACTCTTCATTTCCCGCTGTTTAAATGCATTAAAAGATGACATAAATACATCAGTATTCATAAAACAGCAAATATATGTGGCAGTTACATAATGATGAGTGGGAAGGGGAATAGTGTATATACACACAGTGACACAAGATGTGACCCATATAACTCAATGTATTATAGAACTAAATATGTATAAATTCCAACATGGGTACTACATTACTGGGATTACACATGCTACCTGAATGTGTTTGTTTATTTTACTGTGGTTTCACAGTGACATAAACTGACTTATGGAGGTATTTTTGGGTTGTCTTTGTTAAATCTTTGACTCCATAGCCTTTGGTTTAAACACTACCTTCCCATGAAGTCAGAAAGCAGTACTGAGAGTCAGCTTAGAAGCATTTAAGTTATAAGCTATTCTTCTTTAATAAAAATATTTTATTTCCTTAGTTATACTATAAACCTTTATTTTAATATAATTTTGTTTGTTTGGTTGGTTTGGGTTTTCTTGGTAAGTCAGTCTTTAAGGATATGGTCCAAGACTCATTAGCATCAAGGAAAGAATACTGGAAGCACTCCCAATGGATACACTAGATATTGGTAAACGGTATTCAAAGGATTGCTTTCAAATTCAAATATTTTAGGACAATCATACATTCCTTAAAATTAAAGCACACCTTAACGGCAAGGTGAACAAACAAAATAAAAATGGACATTATCTATCAAGCTATTCTGAACCATACTAAAACTGTGCTAAACCTATAATGTTTCTCCAAAGTGACCTTAAAAAATGCTTGATTCCACACACTCAATGCTTTTGATTTTCAACAAGCTTTTCAAGAAAAGCCTAATGACAACAAATAAAACCTTAAGGTTAATTTCTTCACAGATAAGCCTGACACAGAAGCAAAGTTAGTACAGAGTTAGTAACAGCAACTGCGCTGCAGCATCTAGTTATTCAACCTACAGATCTCAAGCTTCTTGCCCTATTTTACAGTGTATTCAGATGGAATACTTT